ACTCATGAGGGTAGCAGAAAACAACACATTATACCACAATCAGACTCACGAGGGTAGCAGAAAACAGCACATTAAACTACAATCAGACTCACGAGGGTAGCAGAAAACAACACATTATACCACAATCAGACTCACGAGGGTAGCAGAAAACAGCACATTAAACTACAATCAGACTCACGAGGGTAGCAGAAAACAACACATTATACCACAATCAGACTCACGAGGGTAGCAGAAAGCAGTACATTAAACTACAATCAAACTCACGAGGGTAGCAGAAAACAACACATTAAACCACAATCAAACTCACGAGGGTAGCAGAAAACAGTACATTAAACTACAATCAGACTCACGAGGGTAGCAGAAAACAGCACATTAAACCACAATCAGACTCACGAGGGTAGCAGAAAACAGCACATTAAACTACAATCAGACTCATGAGGGTAGCAGAAAACAGCACATTAAACCACAATCAGACTCACGAGGGTAGCAGAAAACAGCACATTAAACTATAACTAGACTCACGAGGGTAGCAGAAAACAGCACATTAAACTATAACTAGACTCACGAGGGTAGCAGAAAACAGCACATTAAACCACAACAAAAATGTTGTTTATTTATATCATTTATTAATATTAGAAGTTCATGCGTTACCAACATCGTGAGTACACTTCCAAAAATCAACTTTCGTCTATAATTGAGTTACACAAGCCCCCTGTAAAGATGTCTTTTCCTATCTCCTTTGGTGACATACAAAGTAATGTTTGCCTGGCAACATTCTGAGATGTAAATAACCATGGTAACCAGAAAGGTGGTTTTACTAGTACAATGTTATTATCAGATAGCCTGTTATATGGTTTATACTGCTATGATCCGATGGGCGTGATTCAGCAAAAAGCTGCAGAATGGGCTATCTGCGGCGTGTCCACCGTAGGAATTGAGCCCCACATTTAACCGTTATATAAGCCCTCAAGCTTACCCATGAGCCGTCAGGAAGCGGAGGAGCTAGGAGATTAATTCATCTATTGTTAAGCACAGTGTTGAACAATAGGCTATCGCTGCTGTATCCATTACAGGGATCAAACCACGAATTTTAACGTTATGATTTATTTTTTTCAAACACACCACTGAGCTGCTTTTTTTTTCTTCACATTTTGTGGTTCTTAACGATCGAGTTTGACGAAATATTGCCTTTAAATTAATTCTTCCGTTATTATCTTATAATAATAATATATCCAAGAATATTTTTACTATTCTTAACTTTTATAGCGCGATTAAAGCGAAACGTTCGGTAAATATAACATTTCACTTCAATTCTTGCGGTGTTTATTATTATCTGTCGTTAATATTTTTGTTCTTTACTGAAACGTTCGTTAGATATAAATGTTAGTCATGTGTTTACGTTTCATATATATATATACATATACATACGCTGTTAGCCTCACAAGGACGCTCTACGTGACAGCGCGGGTCACGTGGCATACTGTTCCACATGCGTTAACAACCATGTACGGGTATAACCTGACCGAGGAGAGGCTTAACAACCAGGAAGTACGTCATCACACTCGGAAAGGAAGCCAACACTCACGTGGCATTGCGCAAACTAATGCTGGGAGGACACAAAAATCATGGAGAAAGTTTTCCTTATACGATCGTCTGTAATTACGTGTAATAATATTTATTTTATTATTAAATTCCAATAAATACGTTTTAAAATAAATAATATTACCTTCTTATATTTGCTGTTGTTTAAATGCAAAGCTACATAATGGGCTCTCTATGTTATGCCCACGTAGAGAATCAAACCCCCTAATTTTAGTACTGTAAGTCAACTTACCGCTGAGCGACCATTTTTAATATTGAAATATCTCTCTTAATAAGACTGATAATTTGACATTTACAAGATTCAACTGGGTAGTCACAGTACAGTCCTGGACTGGGTAGTCACAGTACAGTCCTGGACTGGGTAGTCACAGTACAGTCCTGTCTACAATAGTCCTGGACTGGGTAGTCACAGCGACAGTCCTGGACTGGGTAGTCACAGTACAGTCCTGGACTGGGTAGTCACAGTACAGTCCTGGACTGGGTAGTCACAGTACAGTCCTGGATTGGGTAGTCACAGTACAGTCCTGTCTACAACAGTTCTGGACTGGGTAGTCACAACGCAGTCCTGTAAACATTAGTTCTGGACTGGGTAGTCACAGCGCAGTCCTGTCAACAATAGTTCTGGACTGGGTAGTCACAACGCAGTCCTGTAAACAATATACCTGGACTGGGTAGTCACAGCGCAGTCCTGTCAACAATAGTCCAAGACTAGGTAGTCACAGCACAGTCCTGTCAACATTAGTTCTGGACTGGGTAGTCACAGCG